AGAGGGAATGCCTCTATAAGTTCTCTACGATGTATAGCCATCATCTGAAATTGAACGTCTTCTTCCTCTCCCAGAGCTTCGACAACATAAAGGACATGAAGGTTAACACAAATTTTCTCTATCTCTTCCGATTCACGGATAAGTCGAACGTGAAGCGGTTTCTTAATTCGCTCTTCGGCGGCACGGGCAATAAACCGGCTCTCATCTTCAAACTGTGCGAGAAACTCTTGACCCGCTGTGAGCGCCCGATCCTCACTATGGACTGCACAAATCAGTGATTTGTCTATTATTGCGACGAAAAATCTATTGCGGTGGACTTTCATTGAAAGCTTTGCTTTCTCCGTCATTATCAGAAAAAATCTGAGCAAGAATTAGAGAAAGAAGTTCAGGAGGGATATCACCAGATTTTGATTTTGTAGCGTATGTTTGACGAAAATGGAACATATTCAATTCCGGATCGTCGATGGTCTCCCACAGCGGCTTGAGCGGGTGGCGGCCGCTGTCGGCCTTCCTCATCCCAAAGGCGCGGCGGCTGGAGGTCCTTCAGTTTATCGAGAGCCAACCCGAGCACAATATCAAACGCGCTAAGACCTTTATGGAGGTCTTGGGTTATCTCTCCGAAGGGGCTCGAGCAAAGGGCGCTGGAGCACCAAATCGCCACCGGGATTTCATCTCCTTCCTGCGCAAAGCATTGCAGTATATACCAAACCATACCCTTGCTAAGCTGAGCTTGCTGGAGCTAAAAAACATCCAAGCGTAAAAGAGCTCTATGCCTTGTTCGAGGATCACTTGTCGAGCTTCTCAATGAAGAGTCGGTCCTGAGCGCGGTCAAATCCAGGTTGCTGAACTATTCTGAAGATACAGGCCAAGTTCGCGACAGCGTCGCTGATGTCTGTTTGAAAAACCAACTCCCGGCGGACACTACAACCGCGCCCTCTCTCCAGACTCGGAAAGAGGGGGAGTTCGATCACTTGCTGCTTCTCGTCTTTGGCCGCTTTCTGGCGGGCTAGAAGATTCCCGAGGCCTTTCTCAAAAGCAACTATTTCACTCCGCGCGCGCAGCTGGTACAATTGTTTACGGAAAACCCTCAGGGTTTGAAGCCAATCTCAGGGAGCCTTAGGCGGATCAGGATATGCGTCTTGCCATCGTGGCTGACTACCGCGTGCTTGTGAACAACGTAAATCAACAGTTTCTCAGCAGGTATCCCTTTGAGAAACGTGTTGACCTCGTGTGAGCCCTCCGCGCCCCCTTCTTCACCTCCGGTGTCGACGGCGTCTCTCTATCCTACGCTGCCTACTGCGAGCGATGCCAGAAATACGTACCGATTACAGAAGATTTCAGAGGTTGAAGCTCACTTGCACACGGAAATGGAAGCCCGCCAAACGCTCTACAAAAAGTACAAAAGAGCTGTGAACGGGTTAGTCGGCGCGGGCAATGCCCTGTCTGCTATCACTGTGGGCAGCGCTGTTAGCGGAGTGGCCGTACTCAGTACCGTCGTCTTAACTCCTGTCGGGATCGCGATCGAAGGCCTAGCAGCTGTTTGCGACACGGCCACTTTCGCTGGTCGGGTCGTGAGCCGCAGATTGACCAAGAAAGCTGAAAAACACGATCGCATTCGGACGTCCGCTAAGACCGTGCTCCGAACAATCTCGCTGATCACGAGCCGAGCGCTTCGAGGTGGGAACTGCAGCGAAAGTGAGTACCAGCTCGTTTTGGACGAAGCAGAGCGCTTCGCTTCGTTGAAATACAAAATTAGAAGCCAGACAAAGAGAGCTCTCCGCCAACAGACACAAGAGCTAGAAGCACAGCTGGGCGCTGCACGTGCGAGCGGGCGTAAGGAGGGCATTCAGCTCGGGCGCATGGACGCTCTGAAAAAAATCCAGCGTCAAGTGGCGGATGGCGATTCACGCTAGACATAAACTTTGTGCGCCATTGACAGTGTTGCATCATCTTGGTGTGACAGTTTTCATCACCCCACTCACGCCGGGGGCTACAGACCGAAGCTGTGATCATAATAAATCACTGCTTTGAACATCTCTTTTGTTTGCGAGGAAAAACCAGTATTTGAATAAGATAGTGTATGAAATAGCGTCGCTGGTATGGGGTGTTTGGCATGTCAAACTGGCGCTATGAGCGTCATGAATCTAGCCGAGCATTTTAATAGTCGTCGGCATAATCGTGCGTGGTTGGCTGGCAAAGCTATGAATTTCGATTGCCACTTGTGTGACGACAGCGGCGGGGATGTGGAATGGCTATGTAAGCATGTCGAGTCGCCTGGGCACCGAGAAAAGCTAGTTGAGGAGCTGATGAGATCTAGGGGGTGGCCTCACCGTTTCCTTCGGGCTGTTCCCGAGGAACTGCAACGGCAAGTTGTGCTTGCGAGGGAGCGAGTAGATGCCACCTCCGCATGTTGGACTGGGTCCTCGAGGGGAACTCTCTCGACGAGTACTAACTAACTATCACATCAGAACTAATAGACCCTGACGGCCGACCGCGCGTGCGCGTGGGGTGGGCCGGCCGTCTTTGGCTCCTGCCGTTGTCCAGGGTTTGGCCTTCGCTGTGTTGTAATTTTTGTGCCGATATATGTGCTTAATTTGTGCTTACTATGTGCTTACTATGTGCTTACTGTTTTCTTACTGTGTGCTTACTATGTGAACCACGTACGCGAACTAGGGCTGGGACGCTTAGATTTGTGTATACTCCTTCTCAAACTGAGAAGTGTGCTAGAACCGGTAGTCTCTATACTACTGAAACTAAGCTTTATATTATCTTACAGGTTTGTGAGAAATTTAATTTTCATTGCTTTTATAATAATTGCTAATGTATTCATGTAATACCTATGAGTACAGTTGTACAAGGGATAAAGCATAAAATAATTATGTATATGTCAATATCTCCTCCTCCCAAAATGTTTATATTCATGTTTACTGAAAACCTCCGTTGAATCATCTTTCGTTCTGTGTAATTTCTAGCTTTCAAGCACTTAAAAAATATTTATCATAAATGGAAAGCGTTGTGTGGCCATAGACCAACATGATGTTTAGGTAAGGTTGTATTTCTTTAATGCATGAATGATGATTATGTAGAAGGGCTTTGTGGGAAGGGGTTTGCTGTATTTTAAAATAAATTTTATTAGTGATTTTGGGTGTGCTGCCCCAAATGGTTATTTTGCTTCAGAGGCATTTACTTGGGTAAATTAGCTAGTTGTAGCATGAGCAGTTATTGTTGAATTTACTTTGTGCCGATTTTTAAAGACGCTATGCAATACTGTTTGCAAACTTGGCTGACCATTAAATAAGTTGTTTCAATTTCATAAACCTCACTAGTTTTGCAAAACTTTCACCAATCCTTTATACTTGTCCTTGGGCTGTAGATTTACCTAGCATATTTTACGAACTGGGGTAGAATAAAACCAAATCCTTAAAAAGAGCATCTTGTTAAATTTAAATTCAAAGGTTTGAAATACAGAAGTTTTAATTCCATTTGGGTTATACATTGAATTTCTGTTTTACAGCATCACCAGTTTGATCATTTCGAGGGACAACATTCATGTATGCATCTCGTGATTTCACAATCCCTAATTATTGAGGTGCGAAATGCCACAGCTTAAAAGAGAACATTCTATTGATATTCATGTGTTGAAGGCTAAGATAACACCAACTAATGCATCAATTTACATTTCCTGCTTGCTCAGCAATACGTAAGTCGTTTATCATACACAGTGAAGGCATTAACTTATACTGTCGACAAGGATTGTTATGAAGCCATTTAATGCATGTTCATTAGTAGCGAGAGACTTGCCGAGCGGAAATCGAATTCGTGTGATAAAAATTAATGCCCAACATAAAGTTCTGATTAGAGCCATAGAAATAGACCAAAAAAAGACAAATTGTAAAATTAAATTTATTGTAACGTTTCGTCTTTACTCAAGACATCTTCAGACAAATAATAAATAGGATGTTAAGACAAGATATTTTTTTTACAAAAAGGTGTTAAATTACTACTAAAGGAAGCGGTGTCGAATGGATATATGATTAGGAAGTTAGGAAGTAAAATAAAGAGAAATTAAAAGAGGTTAAGTGGAATGGTGTTTCCTTGCACATTAAGTGAAGGTTTGTATTTATTGATTAGAAGGCTTTCATGAATGGAGAGTTCATATGTATCGTTGGAAGAGGAGATTATTTTAAAGTCGTCTAAGTTGGGGGTGTGTCCAGTTGCGTTAATGTGAGCAAGAATGCTTGATGATGCAGGGTGGGAAACTTGGTTGCCTGTAAGGGGGGATATTCCCAAGTGCTCCGAAAATCTGGTGTGTAGATGACGTGTGGTTTGACCCACATACGAGGCGTTGCAGCTTCGACACTTGAATAAATAGACTACACCAGATCTCAGAGGTTCGGGAATTTTGTCCTTAAAGGGGAAGAAAGAAGAGATACGTTGAGAAGGGCGGAAAACAAATTTAATGGATATATGTGGGAAGGTTGCAGCACAAAGGCTATTATTGATTTGTGTGCAAATTTGAAGGGAGTGTATGCCGGTGAAAGGAACACAGAAATAGATGGGCATTTTGTGAGCAGTCAAGACAGGTGGTTTAGGGGCAAAGGTGTTGTTAAGGAAGCGACGTGTGATTTGGTCAATTATACGTGAAGGAAAACCGTTTTTGGTGAGTGACTTTCTGGTAAATTCGAGTTGTGTATGAAAATTTTCGTAAGTAGAACAAAGATTGAAGATGCGGTGAAGTAAGTAGGAGACTAGTGCAAGTTTGTAAGTAAGTGGGATGAAGCTGTGGAAGTTGGTGACGAGGCCAGTGAAAGTAGGTTTGCGGTAGACGGAAGTGGTGAATTTTCCATTAGTACGAGAGATATCAATGTCCAGAAATGAGAGCTTTCTGTTTTGTTCGACTTCAGCTGTGAATGTGATGTTAGGGTGTTGTCGGTTCAGATAGTCAAGAGAGGGACGTGATCGGAGGAATGAAAAAGTAAAAAACAGTCGTCAACGTAGCGTCAGTAAAGTAGTGGTTTGAATGAAGAAGGACATTTATGAAGCCAGGATTTTTCGTGAAAGGACATGAATATATCAGCAACGAGAGGGCCCAATGCACTGCCGCCCATAGCCACACCATCAATTTGCTGGTACATTTTCCCGTTAAAGATAAAGTGACAGTTCTTAACAGCTAGAGAGAGTAGTTTTTCAAATTCTGTTGCAGTGAGTCCGTTGAAGTACTGGTGGTTGTTAAAAATGCTTTTGGATATTATGTGGATGGTTTCGTCAACAGGTATGTTAGTAAATAGGGATACGACATCAAAGCTAGCAAGGACAACGTTACTGGAGTTGATATCGCAATTTAGGATTTCTTCAACAAACGAGAAAGAGTCTTTGATGATGAGGTCGCTTATAGTGAAGGGTTTTAGGAGTGGGATGAAAAACTTTGCTAGTTTATACGAATAGTGATTAATGGACGAAAGAATTGGTCTGAGAGGGATGTTACATTTATGTATTTTAGGAAGGCAATACAATATACCTATTCGTGAACCAGTAGGGTAAAGTTCTTTGTAAGTTTCTTGGCCGATAGAATTGGCATCTTTCAACTTTTTTAATAAAGACTTCACTTGATTTTCTCGTTGTAAAGTGACTTTGACTGGATCTCCATTAAGAGGTTGAAACTTTGTAGTGTCAGATAAGAGTGTGTCCATTTTCTTTGTGTAGTCGTCTTTGTTAAGTATTACGATGCCATTACCTTTGTCAGGTTTAGTGATGAGGATAGTTCTGTCGTTTTTTAAATTATTTAAAATGTTCAAGTCTTCTTGTGAATATAGAAAAGGTGGTGGGCTGTAACTTCGGAAATCTGAGTGGGCAATGTCTTTTAATTTGCATTTGATCGAGTCTGGACCTACTTTCACTGGCCTCTTCACCAACTTCCACAACTTCATCCCACTTACTTACAAACTTTCACTAGTCTCCTGCTTACTTCACCGCATCTTCAATCTTTGTTCTACTTACGAAAATTTTCGTACACAACTCGAATTTACCAGAAAGTCACTCACCAAAAACGGTTTTCCTTCACGTATAATTGACCAAATCACACGTCGCTTCCTTAACAACACCTTTGCCCCTAAACCACCTGTCTTGACTGCTCACAAAATGCCCATCTATTTCTGTGTTCCTTTCACCGGCATACACTCCCTTCAAATTTGCACACAAATCAATAGCCTTTGTGCTGCAACCTTCCCACATATATCCATTAAATTTGTTTTCCGCCCTTCTCAACGTATCTCTTCTTTCTTCCCCTTTAAGGACAAAATTCCCGAACCTCTGAGATCTGGTGTAGTCTATTTATTCAAGTGTCGAAGCTGCAACGCCTCGTATGTGGGTCAAACCACACGTCATCTACACACCAGATTTTCGGAGCACTTGGGAATATCCCCCCTTACAGGCAACCAAGTTTCCCACCCTGCATCATCAAGCATTCTTGCTCACATTAACGCAACTGGACACACCCCCAACTTAGACGACTTTAAAATAATCTCCTCTTCCAACGATACATATGAACTCTCCATTCATGAAAGCCTTCTAATCAATAAATACAAACCTTCACTTAATGTGCAAGGAAACACCATTCCACTTAACCTCTTTTAATTTCTCTTTATTTTACTTCCTAACTTCCTAATCATATATCCATTCGACACCGCTTCCTTTAGTAGTAATTTAACACCTTTTTGTAAAAAAAATATCTTGTCTTAACATCCTATTTATTATTTGTCTGAAGATGTCTTGAGTAAAGACGAAACGTTACAATAAATTTAATTTTACAATTTGTCTTTTTTTGGTCTATTTCTATGGCTCTAATCAGAACTTTATGTTGGGCATTAATTTTTATCACACATGTTCATTAGCTTTAGAAAAAAGATTGAGCGAGATAGTTATTTCAGTTTTATCTTATAACAATTTTAATTTTGTTTTTACAGAAACAGCTTTGAAAAGACCTGGCATCACCGAGAGAGAACTGGCTAACATATCTGGCATGCGCCCGACTTCTCAAATATAAGGAAAACCAGATAGAAGGCGGAGACTCAAAGTCATGTTCGACAAATAAACATTCTTAACACTAATTCAACCGATAGGTATGAAGGATATTTCATTAAATTGTTTTACCGTTTGATGATCGCCATGCATGCGCATACTATGTACATTCTGCGTGTATAGCAGAAAGGATGTCAAACACGCGAGAAATATTCTGCGTGTTTGACAATTTTTGGGATATACTTAGACTATGGATTTGCCAGAGGGAGAGCAGAGTCTTAATATAAATGTTATTTCCACTATTTCGTAATGGCACGATTGAAATGGTGCATTTAACGTAAACGACAACTTTTTTTAAATTTTCATTGCAAACATTTTTCGGCAAACTTATGCCATCTTCTGTGCGGTATAATGAATGAATATTTGAATGGAGTTAATGTATAAAGAAATCAAACCTAAAAACATCAAAAAACTCAAGCCTAATCTTAAAGTGGTTCTATGACGAAAACTTAACGTTAAAAAATCAACTATTTTAGCATTCAACAGTTTGAACACATATCAATTATTGCTTTCGTAAAATGTAAGCAAAAATAATAATATAACGAGGGAGTTATGAACATTTGAAATGTCTAATTTTCATGTCCGCCATTAAAATCGGCCATTTTGTATATTTGCAATCAGCAAAGGTCTGTGACGTCATAGTCTTAACACGGCAACAGTGTTGCCAGATGGGCGGTTTTCCCGCCCAATTGGGCTGGTTTATAAGCCTGTTTGCTGGAAATTTTGGGAGGTTGCGGGTTGCGGGTTTTTGGGCTGGGAATAACTTTTTGCGCGATTTTTCGGGCTGGAAAAAATTTTGATGATCTAGCTTCCACGTGTTTTTGTTTTTGTCGTGGTAAACAGCAATTGCGCTTATATTGTAGTGACGTACATAACGTGCGTATATTATTCATCTAGATTTATGTATTAGCAATAGAGGGAATAGCCAATCCTACACTTACTCAAACGCGCTACTTATTAAACTTACGCACTTTACTTTATAATTACGTAAAACTACTCAAATTTCAAGTACATTATCCGCCTTGTAATAACTGCATCTTGTTTAGCCAAATATATAAAAAGCCTGTAAATAAATTGTAAAAGATAGAATACTCACGACTGTTGTAAATAACTTCTTCGCTAGTGAATAAAATAATCACAAAATTTAATAGCGTTCTAGTACATTGAACTCACGTTCGGAGCTCATACGAAAGTCTTATATATAACGCTAAAATATAACATGAGAAAGTGGGAAAAATACCATAAAAAGTATTGTAAAGACTGGGAAAAGGAAGAAATCTTGAAAGAATGGATTTTGAGTGTAACAGGAGGCGACCAAAAAGCATATTGTAAGTATTGCAAAACTCAAATTCGAGCACATCATGGGGAACTAGTTTCTCATGCAAAAACTGAGAAACATAAGCGCAACAAGCAACCTTTTCTCAGTTCAAGAACCTTATTTGAGTTAGGTTGTCAAAGTAAAAAAGTAGACAATTTTCTCAAAGTTACAGAGATAAAGATCGCTGCCCACATCGCGTGTCATTCTAGCTTAAACACCGTGGATCATCTTGGCGAGTTATTTAAAGATGTCTCAGGGAAAGATGTTAAACTCCACACAACAAAGTGTACTGCATTGATTAAATGTGTGTTAGGACCAGCGATGTTAGAACAGCTACTTCAAGAATTGGCCGACATCCCTTATTCACTAATTATAGATGAAAGCACTGACATTGGCAATGAAAAACAACTGTGCATTATGGTTAAGTACTACAGCGCAGCCAAACAACAGATTTTCACAAGCTTCCTTGGACTTTTGTCTATTGAATCAGGAACGGCAGAGGCCATTTTTCAAGCAATAATTGAATTTTTGAGAGCAAAGGAGCTTGATATCAAGCAGTGTATAGGCTTGGCCACTGATGGGTGCAACACAATGTGTGGAAGGAACAATTCTGTAATCACAAAATTTCGTGAACTATGCCCTAACATAATACATATAAGATGCATTTGTCATTCTATCCAACTTTGTTCCTCACATGCTCTTAAAGTAATGCCACGGAATGTGGAGTTAATGGTGTCAGAAACGTACAACTGGTTTTCTCATAGCACTTCTAGGCAACGAAAGTATCGCCAGATCTATTCAGCTATCAACGTGGAGGAAGCAGCTTTGAAGATTTTAAAGCTCTCCGACACACGTTGGCTATCTATTTCTGCATGTGTTGACCGAATACTCCAACAGTTTGACGGACCGAAACTACACTTTCAGCTTGCCAAAGATGAAGATCGCAACTACACTGCAGAATTACTTTTTCAAATGTATGGTGACATGGAGAATAAATTATATCTAATTTTTCTGCAGCCTATCCTTAAAGAATTAAACCGAGTAAATAAGCTGTTTCAGTCAGATTCTGCTAACCCGTTGCAACTCCTCACTGATGTTATGAGTTTGTATAAAGCGTTTCTTTTCCGTACTATTAAGCCTGTGACATTTACAACATGGTGCTCCACTCTCACGTACGACATAGAGGATGAGAGAAATCATTTGCCTCTTTCTGCGGTCGACTTTGTATTTTATTTCAAGTGGCATTGGCGGAATCAAATTTAACTTTTGAAAAGGTTGATGTAATCAAATCTAGATGTCAACAATTTCTGGTTGAGTTGCTCAGGCAAATGAAGCAAAGGTTGCCATGCAATGTGGAGCTGCTTGAGTCTATTGCTGATCTAAGTCCAACTGTTGTTACAGGCAAACAGAAACGATCTCTTCAAGACCTGTCGTTTCTTCCACTATTTTCCGGAGATTTAGGTAAACTTGACCAACAATATAGTCGCATTGGTTCAATCCAGTGGATTGATGTCAACGACCAGAAGATTGAGCAATTTTGGTTTGTCGTCATTAATCATGTTGATGCTTCTGGGGATCACGATTTTCAAGAGTTGGGAAGCCTTGCACTTTCTATTTTGGCTCTTCCTTTTAGCAACGCAGCAGTTGAAAGAGCATTTTCTCTGATGGCTTTGCTAAAATCCAAACTAAGAAATCGAATGGGACAGTCGCTACTAGAGAATCTCTTGCACGTGAAATCATATATGGCAACGCAAAAAATTTGCTGCAACAATTTTACTCCTTGGCCTCAAATGATATCTAGGTTTACTTCAGAAATTTATGAAAGTACAGAAGACGTAAACGATGCGATATACGATATCAATGTGTAGTTTGGTTTAAATTAAATATTTTCAACAGACTTGGGCTAGTTTTTACTTGTTTTGATGCAAATTTGGGCTATTTCTTGCAAAATATAATTGGGCTATTTTTGGGCTACTTTTAAGGTTAGCACTATTTTCCACCCAGCAAACCGCCCTTTACTTTGAAATATAATATTTTACACAATATAATATTTTACACAATCTAATATTTTACACAATATAATATTTTATATAATATTTTACACAATCGTCGAAAAACGACATATTTTCCAGCCTGGATTATAAGTTTATAACTTAAGGTGGTTGCATGAAAATTTATACTGCAACATTTATCTGTAAATATTTTCTTATGTTGATATTAAAAACTGTATTATAAAAATATAAAATTACTCGCCATCTCAAAACGACCTAGCACCAGTGCATGCATGGCTTCCTTTTAGCTTTTGGTTCTTTCCCATTAGCCGCCATCTAATTTATTAACGATTGTGTAAAGTAAAGGGCGGTTGGCTGGGTGGAAAATAGTGCTAACCTACTTTTAAAGGTAGCTCGGGCGGGTTTGCAGGCTACCCATCTGGCAACACTGCACGGCAAGAAGCGCACATGGGAAAGTATACAAAGTAATACATAAATAGAGCAAAAAAATGTCAAATTCATCGAGATCTAGCTCGCTCTCTGAGTCTTCGATCGAGACAAACGCATCGATTTCTTCATCGGAATTTATGACGGCAAATTCGGACGAATCTAATTCGGAAATTTCGCCATTTGCCGATAATACTGAACCGCTTGCTTCGCCCGATGAAATTGCTGAGTACGAAGCTACAGTCGCAGAACGGCGGTTTGAAGACATGCTGCAAGATCGTTTTGATGCCCGTGTTGATGTTACTTCATGGTAAGATGTCATTCTTAGTGTGTTACTTTGATCTGAATCGTCTGCCGTTAGCTATGATAACTTTATGGAAACATACAATTTGGCCAATATTAAAGGTGTGAATGTGGCCATTGTTCGATGGATCTTGTTGTCAACCCTCAAGAGTGCCGATGCTGCATGGAAATAGAGCAATGCCGTGGTAAAATGTATCAGTTCGAAATCGATGAAAGGAAATGCATTTTGGATCACCCTGGCTTTAACGAAGTTTGCCTGAACGAATTTGTTCTTCAAGCAGCTTCGTTAGGTTTAAAGACCAAAGGTCATCGCATGATACAGACACTTCATTTTGTATTTCCTTTAAAACCTTAGTATAAATGTATATTATATATTAAAAGTTTGCCTGGATGTATTATTGGTTTTCTCAAATTTTAAAAATTTATCATCTGCAATATGTAAAAGTATATAATAATTGCAACTTGTGCTAAACTGACGCCGCTCTCTTGACGTTGTTGGTGTTTGTGATTTCTTCCAAATAGTAGGTACGGCACCAGGTTTGAGCCGTCTAGTCATACCACCCAAATGGAATAAACGCTCAAAACAATCATCCGAGAAGTGATTCGAACAAATTATAAATCGAATTTCGCGCGAACTCGGATTAAAGTTTGCGCGCTTCGTCTGAACAAATTTAACCCAAATTCTTCTCAAAGACTCGTCGTTTGGGCTTTTATGTAATGAAATGCCTGTACTTCTATCAGACTTATTACTGCAATCTTGCACGACACAGCGTGTTGAAGGCATGTTAAAAAAATTGAGCTATACAACCTTTTAAATCTCTATTTGTATATAGTGTTATATTGTAAACAGCCGCGAGTTAAGACTATGACGTCACAAGCACCTTCCTTCTTGAAAATTCAAATATGGCGCATTTTAATGGCGTCTCTTAAAGTTCAAGTTTTATCGCTACGTAACTCGAGCGGCATGAAATACATTGCGCTAAAATTTCGCCAGAAGAGATTTTTTACATACACTATTAATATATGAAAAAAAAACGAGAGGCAAAATTTTCGTCATAGTACCACTTTAACAAACAAATTCAGCATGTCAATACTATCTTTTACTTCTGAATACTTAACACCTTTAACACTACATAATTGTAAGCAGCTTCCGCTTCCATCCCCATTGTCTATACACATGTCTTGTATCAGATTTCTTTATATATTAACTCCATTCAAATATTTATTCATTATACTACATAGAAATGGCATAAGTTTACCGAAACATGTTTGCAATAAAAAATTTTAAAAAAGTTGTCGTTTACGTTAAATACATCATAAATGTTATTGCCCAACATAAAACTTTTCATAAGGCCATGAATAGAAGGTTTTATTAATAGTAATATATAATCTTTAACTTTAAGACATCATTAGACTGAAATGCATTCTACATAGGAAGTTTGAAAACGTATATCTAATTATACGATTGATATTCACAGAGATTCTCCATTCAAACCCAGTTTATCGCTTAACGCACAAAATCTCACCACATTGTCATCAACAATCATCACACTTTGTAACCTAACACTCTGTGAATATCGTATAATTAGTATTCATGTTTTCAAACTTTTTATGTATAATGATATATTTCTTAAGTTAAAGACGAAACGTTACTATTAATAAAATCTTCCATCTATGGCCTTATTGAAAGTTTAATGTCGGGCGATAACATTTATATTGAGAAATATAGAGAAAGCCGACGTCAATTCGACGTTGATAAAACAACGTCTATTCGATTTGCGTTTTCGACGTCGCATCAACGTCGATTCGATATCAGTTTGGACGCCGATTTGCCCACTGGGATAAAAAAAAATGATTACTGCAACATGACAAAGCATTTTTCAACATTCCATAGCTACAGCACTATATAAATGTGTTTCAGTGAAATCTTATTCCAGAGGAAGTGAATCACTAGCGTGAATGAAATTTTATGTCTTATGAAATTTTATTTATTTAGCGAGTATTTTCACAGGATAGTCACTTCAGATGTTTGTGAAATAACAAAACATCTGTTATCATGTGCGTCCTGCTGAATATATAAAATTTTGTAACTAAATAATTTAAATAATACAAGTATTATAAGAAAATTAAAAAGAAATGTAGAACTCAAAAGATATTCTGATCATATTCTGAAAGCAAATTTGGCAGTTGGAATCTCCTGCAGGCAACAAATCATTACGCAACAAATCATCTGTTTTTTCACTGACGTTTCGACAACCTTAGAGGTAGTTATCTTCAGAGTCAATACTGTCAATAGCTTAATATTGTCGATAAAAGTCAACATTGAGTTGCAGCAACGCGTTTTACCACCTTTTACTGCACCAAAAGTTATGGGGACAAAACATAAGTGAATACAATGATGCGAAAAGCCTTAGACTGTTTACCATTTCATTTCACGGGGTTTCATTTTTCCAAAAGATGAATAAATAGTCATTAACACTTTCATTCTCCCTGTAAAAAAGTTTAAGGACGTCGGTTGATTACCACCCTTCTGTCCGGCGTTCCTGTGACTGCCAAGTGAGAAAGAAGATTATGAAAAAAATATCCTATACAGAAAAATATGGTCATGCAAAATCAAGAGAGTAAACAGAAACAGAAGTATATTAATCAGATGGTAAAAGTACAAGTGGTTTAAATTAAACAACACACTATGATTTGTACCATCCGTTTGATAATACGAAAGAAGAGAATGATTTATTTAGATTAAGATGTCAGAAAAATACAATTTGCAAAGATGTTCAACTAACTAAGGTAGTCACAGTTTAGAATGGGAATGCTTAGAAAGATACCAGAAGTTTGTTAATTGCCTTGAGGCTATTGATTGACAAAATACCAAGAGCGTGAGATGAAGATGCATGGTGTGTTTATCGACTTGGAATAGCGCACACTCAAATTTTCAAAGCCAAAAGAGGAACTGTGGTATTGTAAGAAGAAGTCTTAAACAATAGAAGTATTTCTGAGCATAATAAAAGATAAGTTTGACAGCATTAAGACAGCATTGACACTTTCTGTAGGCATGTAGGTATGTTGAAGTTTGCTTTGAAAGTAACAGAGTCAGAGAGAATCAGAAGTGCCCTTATTTGAGATAATGCATATATGTGTATGATGCACGTTTTAGAGACAAAGGTTTAGAAGTCAAGCTAAGATGGTTTGAACATGTTCAGCAGTATCATGTATCGTAATTTGTGAGTTTGATATTTTGAAATAACCTTCGACCTTCTTACTTTAAATAGTGAAAATTTAAGAGCAAATAATCTCAATATAAGAGCACCTAAAGTTTCGGAATGTTTTTGGAAAAATTGAAGATTGATCTAATCTTTTGGCATGATTGTGTTATAAACTATTTATAAGACCACCTGAAGTGTGTATGTCACCAACATCACCTAGGATAACAGTGCACTTATTGCCCATAATAAATTCTGTTAAGAAAGGAATGTTCACTAAAATTACAGCTCTTGTTTTAGCTTACACTTATGTTAACGAGATGAACTATTTTTTGCAAATGATGTTAAATTTCAATAACATCAAAATAACGTTGTCTTCAAGAGAAGTTACTAATGATGACTTCTTTAGTTACACTGTACCATCAGACGATTTACACAAGTCTCGTCGTTAAAAAAGAACAGAAAGAGAGATCTTGTTTTACATATATTCTTAGAAAGGCTTACTCAACCAGCGCTTGTAAATGAAAGTATCGTTTGATAGCTATTTTGACGAAGTGAAAGCACGGCGTTAGTCTGTAATATCAAATCAATGATGTGTTTGCCAAGTAAAAATTTGTACGATATTCACGTGTTTTAATTCCTTCAGCGCGCGAGTTACTTTGTTACGTGAGTTTGATTCGCTTTCATGAATGTCCAGTGTACTGGACATTGTGCAATGAAAAGTTGTATGGTTTAGACAAATATTTGGTGTTTTCCAACAATACCGGGAAAAACAACCAGTTTTTGTGCTGATTCAAAGTGCCGAGAAATGTCTTTTTTAGACAAATATTTGGTGTTTTCTATCAACAATGGAAACTGTTTTCGTGCTGATATAAGACCGAGTTGCTGAGAAACTGTCAGGTTTACATTCCATAAATTGTAAATCTTGTGTTCACACACGAAGCGTCACTCACCAAAATTGCATGTGTTTTGACAGTAAATCTTGCGCAACGTATAATGATGTTAGTTGAATATAGATTTTATATATCCGCAACGACGAAAATAGTGAAAAAATACATTGCAACTTCCAATAAATAGAATATAGGAAAAAGTATACCATCCCATGTTACTGGATCAAATATAGTACAAAAAATAAAAGGGCAGTTTCATTGAATGTTGGGTGTTGAGCATGCCGTAAGTTCGGTTGGATACATCCAAATTTTCAAAATACGAAAAGCAAATTAAAGTGAAATGCTTCGCTAGATCATTTTCATGAATTCAATCATTAAGAACGTGTGTATAGCGTGAGTGCCGATGTTTTTATGAGTTATAGCTGGCTGCATTTGCAGGAAACGACAAAAGTGAAATCACTTGTAGTCGGTCATGCACATGTGAAAGTAAACCAAGAAACGTACGTTTTAATTAAAATATTTGCAAGTTTATCACTGGTAAACTTGATTAGAAAAAAGGCGCTATAAAAATGTTTTCAAGTTGTTTTTTTTAACAATTAACAGAAAACACAACAAACTAGAGACTTATTTTGCAACGTCTCTCATTAATGACACGACCAGTCTCTTCCTTTGAGCTAAATAAATAAAAACAATTCTTAATTAAGCTTGCGCACTCGAGCGCCAAGCATGTTCCCCAGCGTGAGGTGTCGTTCTGAACGCTTTCTGGCAAACATATTTAAACTGTGCCAGATGTTTAAAATGTAAGATAATTACATAGTCATGAACTATTTTCTTTATGTACGGGAACAAAAACAATCGCTTTGTAAAGTCTTATAAACACGCATGCGTTTCCATGGATCCATGCATTTACGGGTGAGTATGTGAATCTACTAAAGTCAAGGCGTTTCAAAAAAATAGCACTACTCTTTAAAGAAACCTGCTGTCATTGCTAGGTTTTTTAATAATTTGAAAAATAATTAGTATGCATTTGTTTTATTGGTACGCTGTGACACAACCAGTTTGTTTTATGGACATAGTATAGTGTCCAAATGTAAGCTTCTGTCAGAAGATGCCCAATCTGTCAAAGCTCTTCAGGAATTTGAAGAATATTTCGTAAGCACTAAATAACTTCACAAGAGTCTGGAGGAGGTAAAATGTAAGATTTACCATTCAATGCTTAGCATGAGCATTAACATGGCTAGGTACAACTTGCAACCTAATAAAGATTGTCTGGAAAAACACATCAAACGTGCCAATTAACAAGCAGCAATATAGAAATTGTCACTGTGCCCCACCAAATCCGTCCAACCATGGATGCAAAATTAACAAAAATAAGTATCTCCATTGACTAGATAGATGGCAGTTGTGCACTAATCGATGTGCTAAATATTTAGTTGTACGTAAATGCACTGCTGGTTCCTTAAAATAGATGTTCTGGTAATACCTTTCGTGCTTTAATAAAACAGACAAATTGGAAACGGATGTGTATGGAGAGGTTTTGGATGCAAAAATTCCAGACGAAGAATTGTCAAGTGATAATGAGTCAATGAAGTAAATGAACAGTGAAAATTAGCATCACGATTTCACATCTTTCTCGATTGAACCTTGTCTTCGTATTGTAACACCTCTTTATTAAATAATTCATAAATTGATTTGACCTTGTAGCAAGCTTCAATATTCTGTCGACTTGTATAATCTGTCTTACAAGAAATTGTATTTCGCTTTGCTTACCTCTCAAAATAAACTGTGATAAGTGTACTTCAAGTAAAAAGGTCCCCTAAACAACAAAACGGAACGATCTTCATCGTCAAAATTCTAAAAAACTGCGGGTTTTTTATCTAAAAAACTATACAATACCGTTCATAAAATTTAGCACCGCGATGGTGGCTACGAAAGTAAATATTTTGAGGCCACAAGCAACGGACTATAATATTAGAAAGTGGGTTACGATAATTGTAACATCTGTCTTTTAATAAACATTTAAGTTTTTATGTTGTCTATTTCAACTAGTGGCGAAGCTGTTAAATTATTCGAGATTCGGCAATAACGTTCGGATAGCATGTGAAATATTATGATTTTTATTGTGGAACAAAATAACAACTTACCTTTAAGCTAACAACGATATTACGATAACAAGTTCTTAATATCACTTAATATGACATGTGTCATACCTACGCAATTATGCATGCAATGCTATGTTGTCTATGTTTTTCGCGTGATATTCATATCTTAACAGAAGCAATTCCAAATTTATGACTTGCTAAAACATCTGGGAAATTATGATTTAATTTGATAGAAACCTAACTTCATTCACTGTATTTCCGGTGAATAAAATCGTTACATCAGAGGTGTGTAATGCCTAGCAAGCTTAAACCCACATAGCTGTTGAAAAAAACAGATGTGATTATTTAATTGCACCTCCTTCGTTTCAGTAGTGTCATTTGAGCCTCGCACAGTGACCAGTCTTCAGGCTACAGTATATAAATACCAAAAAATAAATAATCTTCATTAAGTTCGTGCGTGTGATGCAGATAAGAATGATGAGATTAACATCCTTCCTGATCATCTTGACCATTCTATTGGCTGTTCAAGCAAGATACTTTAAGGTATGCTTATTTTTTTAAGATTTTACCCACCCCAATAGCTTTCCCAAAGCATTGTAATTATCAAAAAAATCAATATAGTAATAATTAATATACTTCGTCACTAGTTTTCATGGACAAGTAGTCGGTAACTTGGAGATTCTTAGAACGACAACCCATCGGAATAACAAATTTGAACGACGTAAATTTGATCCGAAATTTAGAAGTCAGATCTCAAAATCCCACTGTATTAGTTTTGCTCCATGTCATATTATCTAAAACTAAACTAATTAGTTTGACAGCGTGATGTTTTAGGAAGACGTAAAAGTAGTTGACTAGAGCAAGACAGCTCAAATGAATATTACACCTCTATGTTTTTTCATCATTGCAAACAACTAAAAGCCTGCGTCAACGCTTTTTAATTTCTTAGTTCTTGTTATTTCGACTAAGATTTCGACAAGTAAAATGGCGAGAATGACATTCATTTTGTTCATCTTGACCTTTTAATGGTTTTTGCTTTCCATGCTAGACGCAGTCACGCATTATTCTATGCTGCGAACGCAACCCGTTTTGATTAGTATAAAAATTATACTTAGTGTACAAAAATTATATCTATATTATAAAAATATTGTTTGAAAAATGCTTAAGAACACATTGACAAAACAATGACACGACTGTCGTTGATCAAGTTACCAAAAAGATTAACTGTTTGTCGATAAAATTCAATGACATATTTTCATCAATTAATATCGGTGTTGATCTAAACGCAGAAGAAATCGACCACAATGAATCAACAGTGAATAGGTCAATCAATCGCATAACGTTTACTGGGTATAACTGAAGCAGAAATGAATCAGTTTTTTTTCGATTTCGTAAAAACTTTTTTGTTCATTCACTCGGAAGCGTTATGTCCATAAATCATTTCAAAGGAGACATTCGACTAACTCACCCATTTTATAGCAAAACAACAAATAGCCTTTCTTGACTATTACGCACAGTAATGGAGACGCCACGGATAAATTCCTTGAAGGAGCCAGTTGTAACCCTACACTAATATTTCACACATTAGTGCAGTAAATCCAACGTCCGTATTTTAAAGAAGCAATCTCTTGCCACGTATAAAAGGAAAGAGTTGTGAATGCACCATTATCAATATCAAATCAGTAAAATTTTATAAGTATAAAAAATAAACAAACGACTCATTTGCTGATATTTCATTTGCTGAAATTTCACTCAAAATAACTCATTTGCTGAAATTTCACCCACGTCAATTTTGAGACGTGACCTGTGATCAGGAAGTTACACATACAGGACCTTCAGAACTAACTGTAGGTCTTTGTCTAAAAAATTTGACATATTCTTTTACTAATTCAAAGATGAAATGGTAATCTGGTAAGAGAACACAGGAACGCAACCTAATAAATAAGTCAATTCAATACAAAGACTTTTGTAAAAATACAAGCTGCAAAGTAAGAATAACTCAATATGACTTTTAATTTGGTATTTATGACATTTTTAATCTATGTCTAGTTCGAGTGCAGAGAACGAATGTTACACGTGCAAGTGCGCGGGATATAAGTCGACTAATTAAATTGTGACGTGTGAGACAATTGAGACGTGTGTGTCCATTCCTTTGTCACTCTTCTAGCCTCCCACTGATTGGTTAATCTACTATTACTATTTGATTTATTCATAATTTGTACATACTGTCATTTATATTCTCATTTTGTAAATTTGTACAATTATTCTAAAGATGTCGCGCGTTGGGACGAAACGTCAATAAAATTCTTCCACTCCATTATTGTATTTTACAACGGCATTTTATATTATTGCAATAAGCTGGGCTCTGATGTTCGTTATAGTTACTGCTACAATAACATGGTCTTGTAGTCAAATAGATTTAACATCATCGTGCATTTTATTATGTAAAAAGTGCTTTTTGTTATGTCTCAACAACCGATCTCAGAAGGAATTTTCTTTAGCCCATTATTTTACACCTTTCGAAATTATATGTTTAAAATATTTGAAATATTGATATATGAAATATTGATGTAGCTAATAAGACAGTGGTTCGATAGTGAGAAAAATCAGCCAACAATGTGTAAGTTAACCTTAGAAACCATAAAAAATTTACAGGCAAAATAACTTCAATAAGTAATTAAGATTGTGAATATACATGTTGCTTAAAAGACCACCAGCCGATGACAGAAAAATTAATCACAAAAATAGGTCCAGATGTTATCCATCGTTTGTTTTATGAAAAATGACCAGAAGAGCAATTACTGTAGTAACTTTTTATCAGCGCCAAAATTTGACAAAGATCAAGAGGTTACTTCCTCCAGCGAATATTCAAACGATTTTTAAGAGATACGATTAAGAGGTTAATCAATTTAATAGCTGGACTTATACAAGTAAAGCAGAATCTTTCAATAGACAGAGCAAACGCATCGGGTGTCATAACTATTGCGGTATTTTAATGTGAACTTTGTCGATCGCTCCATAAATTATGGCTCATAAACATCACTCAAGCACATTAGCGGCACAAACACAAACACAGCAGCGTTCCAGACATTTACTTCTGAAAGAATTTCCATGCCAATTCCGTCACAAACTCGTTAAAGTAGTCAGGCATGTTAGGAATTTATGATGATCTCTCTGGTGCCAAACTTTATATAAAAAAAAATGAGCGAAAAACTATTTGTAAAAGTCCACCTTTTTTGATAGTTAGTTGATAAGCCATATTATAAAGTAAACTCAATGAAACACGTGCGCTGATTGGTCTAGAGATGTGTTAGTATTAGCCTGTGCAAAACGCGATCTGAGCACACCAATCAAATCATTCAATTAATCAAAGAGAATTTGCAAATCAATCATGAACACACGTTAGAAGAATATTAAAACGTTTTATTTGTATCGCATTATTGTTATTTTACAAAAGAAATAAAAGATGTTTTTCGTGTTTGCACTGGCTTATGCAAACCTCGGAGACGTTTGTGATAACACTCGAGCAGGTGATCAGTTCTAGAGTTCTCCTAATAAGCCTGTGCAAACACAGTAAACATCTTTTATTTCTTACATGAAAAAATGTCGCTCGAATTTTTTCCGTAAACTAGGAAATAGCTGCTACATTCCGTTTTACTCAATTTTTGTTGATAAACTATTGTTAATGTTGTTAGGTTAACAAAATTTAAGCCCAATTCACACGACATAAACTAATCGCAGGTTTAAATTAACCAAAGTTAATTTTTTCAGGCGTAAACACTACCATCCCAGGCTTAACCCGGTTTTAAGGCAACCCATCTCTTTAAGAGGTAGGTTGAATTAAACCCAGGTTTAATATGGTTTAGTATTAATACAACTCGTCTCAAGAGTTAGGTTGAACTAAACCCTGTTTTAACTGGGTTAGTAGTGTTAAGACGCAACAGAAATTAACCTCGATTAATTTAAACATGGGTTGAACCCATATTATGTTAATCAATTTTCACAAGCTCCCCAAATGTGTCTAAGCTCTCAGACTTAGTTTTTCATTGTTTTGAAACTGTACTAAATGATCATTTTTAATTAAGCAATAACATGAAAAATCCCCAAAATTACTACATATTATCTTTGAAATATCTTTAAGGAAAGCAAGGCAATAATTTCAATTTTATCTTTTTTTGAAGACTTTATAATTAAAACTTCTTTTTCATACCAAGTTGAGTTTACAAATGCTCATATTTTGCTTTCAGCGCTAAAGTGGCGATGCTCTCAAATATAGAATTATTGATTAGTACGTAAAAATGTACATTACTGCAAAGTTTCATAGTATCATAAGGTTTATGATCGCGTGTTTCTTTTACTAAGTGCAACACCATACAGTGTGTCCCCAAAAAAAACACAGAAACGCCTAAATTAATTATGCATTCGCTGAGATTATCATGCACAATATCGTATCAAGGATTTACAATACTTAAATGAAGTTAACAGTTCTGCGCCTCTGGATTTCAGAGGATTTCTAGAGTATCAGTTAAAGCAATATTGTATACACAGATTTTCATCTCAAATTTCAGAAGAAAAAGCTTTGTAAAATCATAGGGACATAAACTGAATTAAAACAGCCATGCCACAAAACATAACCATATTTTCCATATAAGCTGCAACGAACGTGGACAAACTCATAGAGATTATAATTAATACTAGAGGTGGCATTTTAATATAATCTATAGTTCAAAATATGGTATGCGTTTTGGGGGGGGGGCAAAATTCTTTCCCGGATGTTAAGCCACAGTGGCCGACTATGATTTTTTCACTTTTTTGTATATATTATGCGTAAATACTATAGTAAATACTATCAAATCTAATTGTTGAACAATAATTTCCTTTTTATTGTAATTTTAGATGGCTTGAACCACTGATATATTGCAAAACATGCTTGTGTTCCTTTTACACTCTTTCAGTAATTATAAGTCCATGAGTCATTGCTTGATGAAAACAACTCTTTCGTCTTTAATTCAACAGCTAACAAACTTCAAAAAACATACATTTGTCATCCATACCAGAAAAATGTTAGAAATAGTTAAACTATGTGAATATGTGAAAAAAAATAGAAAAACAAAAAGGAATAACATAAGTTTTCATTGTTTTTAGTTTAATTAAAAAACAAAGCATACGGAGATTATAAACAACATATAATCAAAATAACAGCTCGCTAAAAACAAGTACTAACGCTTTAAAATGACAAATTTTCTTGATGCTCGTACAAAAGAGCAAAAAACTTACTAAAGTATGTTAAAAAAGAACCCATAACTCGAAACAGACGGCAAAATCATCATTTGTTTACTTCGTGTTTTATTCCGGGACCTAAATTTACCCCCCATTCTGGCGTCGCCTAAATTCATCGTGAATGCCACCTCTAGTTTCATTTATAATATTTATGGAAAAACTAGCGTGTAATATAATCATGCAGGCAGAACAAATCGTAATGGCAGAATAAATTATCTTGTACAGATTTTGCTTTAATGCATACATAATTATTTAGGCGTTTTTCGTTTTTTCTTGACATACTGTATATAATGTGATAATTGTGTTTCATTATAGTAACACTTTTAGTCCTATCAGGAACGGAGTACATGCAGGAAGTTATCACATTAAGTTATAGCTAATAAGTAAGTAAACAAATATTTTCACTTCTCAGAAATGCAGTTCAAGTTCGGAGTGCAGAGTTGGGGAATGCTGTTCTCGAGGACGCTGCAAACAAAAAATTTTACCAGGATACCGCTGTAACTTGTATCGAATGCTTTTAAGCCTACAATGTCCATGCACCCCTGGATTTACTTGTATGGTAAAGTCACGTGTTAATAACCGAGAGAGACGAACCTGTCAGGCCATTAATTGGAGACCCAACTTAGATGGAGAGGAGGTTCAAGAAATGTTTGAGAAGTTTCATTGATGGTTAAACTGTGATATTACAATTATCTTCACAAACCAAAATTGCATGTATGATTAAAAAGATTTTGCATCATAGCATAGCTATATATTCGGACCAATAAAGAATTCTTTATGGAAAGTGCATAAATTCTTTATTTTGTTTTACCAGACCGCAAAGAATGTCGATTTCAATGTAATTTAGGATGCTCCGTATATCCCGGTGGAACTTTATATGCATCCTTCTCATACATTTGCCCCAAATATAATTAATCATACAGTTCCCTCCTATTTATATTTTAGGATCTTTATAGATTAAAGCCTTTCACGTGACTATTTCATCAATCTATGGCACAGCAACATTTTTTAAGGTATTGAAATTATTTGCCATAGCATGCAAACTTTCTCTACAGTTGACAAAGAGGCCTTTTCAATTACATTCACAATTTGTTTTCTATAGCCTTAACAACCTCATTCCATTCATTACGTGAGGAAGTTACTGCAATTTTTCTGACTTTTTCAATTGATAAAAAGAAGCAACAACTGCTCTTGGAGAGCGCTAACTTTAGCATTTGACAGCGCTAACTATCAACTAAAACAAATAATAGTACGTTTCATTGGTAAAAATGCAAAAAATTGTACAATTAAAATCATATTCACATGCAATCTTTCCTTTATCAGCTAAAACTGGTTTTTTGTTTTTTTTTACTTAAAAGGCCGTATTTTATTGAATTTTTGTCCTGTTTTTTTGCCTCTCTCTCTTTTGGGTTATTGGATTTTGGCGCAATAAAAGTTAGTACAAATCATTTAAAATCAAAATTCACTCGTTTAGTCTTGCTTTCTGTCTCTTCTCATAATTATGTTTACTACACTATTTCTGCTTCTTTTGCCAAGTCTAATGAAAATTTCCAGTGTCTTTCCTGGATGCCAAAGTGACTATTACTTTTTATTTCAAACAAAACGCAGTCGAGTTACTAGCCGTGTGTAATACTAATTATTAATTTGTCATGATGGATTTTTGTGATGAAGGTAAGCAAAGTGACGTATGATTATGTGCTAACAGCAAGCATGAATATGCTATTTCGACCAACTTGATAAAACCTATCAACCCAAGGAGTATGCCAAATTAAAGAAATGGCAAGAAGTACATGAATGCACGAGAGATATGATGCTTTCCTTTGAAGCCCTACTCTGGTTGTAGTGATAGAGATGCAAAAAAGGGAGTTTTCGTTGACCGTTTGTCTTTTGTAAGGAGTGCTATTGAGAGTACTGTTGGTATTGCTGCAGCACCACAATTCAGAGTAATCAGATCAAGACAAGTCAGATAGGTTTGCTTTTGGATAACCAAAGTAGTTGTAGCGTTACATAACTTTTATGCTTTTTGTTTTTTTTACCTACATGATTTATTCAAAAAGTATTCAAATAAAGGATGATTTTAAAGGTTTTTAATAAGAATACTTGTAAATGAAAAACGCTAAAAAGGCAAACACTCATGTAACAACTGACGTCATACAGCTGCAAATGCTAATGTAATATGCCCACTATAGATTTAACTTGTCTTCACAATTTTATTGCATTGTTTCTATTGTTACTCGTAAATGAAAAATCTATAATCGAAAGACTTTGTGATCTTCTTTCTAAATGTAATATCTGTAAAATATTACAAATTTTGAATTCGAGAACAGTTTCCTTTCACGACACGAAAGCGAAATAGTTAACTTGTACAGATAATTTGGCAAAGATTTTATGCAAAATGTTATATGTCTTTCCTGGCGTTTAATCCTTCGCCCTAGCCTTGTACAGAAAAACGAGATCTCTGAAACCGTAAAGTTGAGAAGCATCACATAGCTCTAACTTTTACAAACAAATTGCAATAACCTTTTTGAGTTTCCAAGTCTTTGGCGGGTCGCTTTTACGTGTGACTATGGGATGAAATACGTGCATAAGATGAATATTTTCCATCAAGAGAGTTTGAAATGTGAGAGAACATAAATTACGCTTTTCCCCTCAAATAATTTGAAGTTAAATAATGAAAACATCGAGTGGATTCTCACGGGAAAATATTGGTTGGCGTAGGATTTCGAATTTTTTCAAAATTACTACAGTATAAGTACAATGATATAAGTACTTTTTATATTCCTTTGTTATATATGTTTTAGAAAAGTAAGTATTTCATTAATTTACGCTGTTGTGAACTCTGTCTCTTTTTCATATTTGGCATATAAAACAAATAACGACTGAAGCCTCTGGTTATACTCAGTCATGATAAAGTAATTGTCAAAGTTCTTCTTTTATACTGACGTATTACGCTGCGTTTACACGCTCAATTTTTATGTGACAATTTGTATGTGAAAATTTTTATTTTATAGTGCACGTGAGAAAAAATAGTTTTTATGCGATTAGACAGTTTATCAAAGAGCTCTAGTATTTGCTTTTCTGTGACCATTAAAAGTTGCCACATCTAAGAATTGCTCGTGTAGATGACACTTGTAATTTTCATGTTGGAAATAACAAGTAGCTCATTATAATTTTTCATTGATATCTTGAAAATCACTTCAGGTAATTCGATTAGCAGAAGGAGTCCACTCTATACCCGACAGTTTTTGTTTTGAATCTACTTTAATAGGTGGATTATGAATATTGAATAATGAAGGTTTTGCATCATATTTAAGTTTACTGTTCGACTTATTGGAGAACGTGCATTCATCAAAATGTGTGGAGCTTAGCTATAAAATTTGGTGTAGGTATTTAGGAGCTTTACCTAAAGCAATGCATTCTTTCTATGAAAGGTAATTTTTTAAAGTTTCCGTTTTTCTGTTTTGTTTTCAAACCTATCTTGCACTTAGTACCTTCAGCTTTAGGGAATTTTTTGATAAGAATCACCTATGTCAAAAATATTTCAGAAAATTTTTGTTTCGAAAAGTTTTGTATTAACATAACAATGTTGCTGGCGTATGAATGCTGGTGCCTTCAATAGCATTTACAACATATTTTTTATTGCCAGGTCACAATATTAGATGAATAGCTAGTAAACAAATAGGAAAAGATGCTGCTAGTAAGACATGTAAATATTTTAACACAAATGTTTTTGGAAATTTGAATAATATAATCACATTAATAACTGTTTAAATTATGGAAACAGATGTTTGCATGGTTGCTCCATTTATTTATAATTCATTAAACGTTTTTGTTTGCCCCATCGCTTAGCTGAATTTTGTTAATGGATTTCTATGTTTTTCGATCAGCTGAATTAAAATTTTTTCTTCCCTTTCAAGTGAGCCACGTACTGCTGGAATAAGGGCTCGTAACTCGTATCATTAATGAAATAAAGGAAATAAATGAGATGAGCATGTAATGCCAGAGCAATCTAATATATGCCAAAGAAATGATACGCAGATATACACGTTTGCATGTAATGTTCAACATTTTGAGAAATAACGGACATATTATTTAAAAAATTAATGAATATAATCGTAATGAATGTTGTACGTTTTAGGAACATAGAAAACCAAGAAAAGAAAGTTGGATGGGCTGGTAACTACATGCAGAAACTTGTCATAGTGCCTTTTCTAAAATGAGATGCAAAAAAGAGAAGTGATGAAAGCATAATGACATATGCATGTCAAAAGGAAAGACTGTACGGCTATCAAAGTCATACACCACAAACCATGTCACCTAAACTACTGCCGCTTGTTGATGCAAAGAGAGCATAGAACTGCGGTTGAGAGTTTAAATCATTTTGAAGATCTTTACAGAACAAGTTATATGACGTTATTTCTTCTAATGTGTATGTGAGATTTATACAGTCTATTTTTTTAACAAAGTAAAAATTTGATGGTTTTGATGTAAATATCTATCGTGTAAATGAGTGATTATATTCAGCTTATTTTACATCGTCCCATGAGCAAACTGCGAAGTCAAAGTTATTTTGTATTCAATGAAGATATGTTTTTGCAAGATGTTGTGGACAGTCAATGCAACAATATTAACATCACTAACAAGTTAATAGACAGAAGTGATAGTGCTTTTCATGTTGCATCTGAAAAAGATGATGAAGTAATCCAAAGTCATCTACAATGAGGATAGGACTCTGTGAAAGGCAATGGAAGGAGAGCGCAACATGAACATGCCGTGTCCACAACCGTGTCAAAATGTTCAATTGAATCAGCTGTATGTCTTAATTTCTCCGATGTCCCTGATATTGCAGCACGCCTTTAAAAAATGATTCTCTGAATAAAAAAGTGTTGTCTATATCTGTCATAAGTGATTTTCATTTCCTCAAGGGGCAAAATGCAATGTGATATAAAATGAAATAAAATAATTTTGGTCAATGTCCAAGTCCTCTGTCTTGGTGTAATTGTGACATATAAAACCGAGATAGCAAAGCTCACTATTGTCTCAGATAACTATTCTCACAGATATTTACAAGAGACCATTCATTTTATAAAAGCTAACAACTTACAGTCTATAGCCCTCAGGTGAAGTACGAAAACAAGTGGAAGAACGTTATAAGCTCTTACATTACTATCTATCCAAAAATTTCCAACCACTTGTTGTCTCAAAAATATATAAAGCCTTTTGTTTGCGTCATCAATAACATTTCAGAACATTAGATTTTGCGTACATTTTTATGAAAATATACCGAGCACAAGTTGATCTTGATTTTCCCCCAATTGGATTGCCTACGATATCGACCATACTGCATGGGATGTAAGCAATACTGAAGAAAAACTTGGCCTGCATACTTCACATCTGTGTGAGCTTTTGTTTGAATTAACTGAGCAAAAGAAAATTTATTAACTTTTATATCAAAGCAGCAAACAAAGGTAGTGTAATGTTATAGGAAGCAATAAGGCTTGCTCGCTGATATTTGAATGCTTTCATGCCTTCACATTTCCTAAAAAGTATAAATCAGGACAACTGTTTGTACTTCTTATCTCACTGCTTATATCAAAAAATGTAAAAGAACGAAAACGATGTAAAATAATTTATAATAGTTTATAAACATGTTTGTAGATGTAGTTCGCCCAGGATAGTAGAGTTGTGGGTCCTTTTCGTCAATATTGCATATATCCTGCGCAGTATGATCTATAACGTAGACTAAGGTTCGACAGTTTCAACATGCTTTTGAACGACTAAGCATTGCACGTGTATCGAAGATTACATATTTACAAATTTTGGACAACCCTCCTATTGAATACTCTACCTTGTACAGTGCCGTTACAAAAGCTCTAAGATTCCTGATGAGCTTTTGTTGCAAAGTTTTTTTGCCAAAATACAACAAATCAGGTAGGAAAAACTAAATCAAGATGGTACAATGTGTTGTCAAACTGAGTGAATTTTATACTATACATTGTCATTTTTGAGCAGTATTAGCATTTTCTTTAGAGATGTAGGATTACAGGTAATATTGTATACAGTGATGATGATGATGATGATGAAACTTTATTAAAGAGGGTAACACGTGACACAACCAAGTGTGAAAAACTTGTGGCCCTCAAACTAACAAACTACGAGATCAATTACAATTTAAAAACCAGAATTACACAAGACTAAAATACTAAAAAACTAAATAATAAATTATTCTGTCAGCATATCTGAGTTAGCTTTATCATAAAGTTTCTTTTTAAAAAGTGTAGCTGATGAAAGTTTACGAATAGTAAGAGGTTAACTGTTTTAAAATCGAATTGCAGTAGCAGCAAAAGATCTCCCAGCATCGTTTTGTCTCTTAATTTGGGGTAAACAAATAGTTAAGTCTTTATAACGAGTATTTCTATTGTGGCGACTGGCATTTGTTGGTAGAATACCAATAATATAAGTTAGACAGTTACCATAGAAACGTTTATGACAAATCACGGCCTTTCTAATTTCCACTTCCTTACTATAAGGTATCAAGCCCAATTTGCAAAAGAGTGGAATACTCCTATCGCGTGTTGAGGCATCTAGAATTACGCAAGCAGCTCTCTTTTGTAATTTTGTAATTTGATCCGAGTTATCTTTTGTTGTATTTGACCAAACACAGCTACCAAACATCACAGAAGATTTAATAGTGGCATTATAAAACGCAATGCGTTCATCCAATGGTAGATAATATCTTAACTTTTTAAGAAGGCCAATTCCTTTAGCTAATTTGGAACATAGCTTATCAATATGATTTGAAATACTTAGGTCTTCATCTAAAATGATTCCCAGAAGCTTCTGGTGGGAAACCTGCTCTAACATATTCACAGTACAAGCGATAAAACTGTCTTGATAACATGCAATAATTTCATGCATGGATACTTGCTATGTACAACTGCATAAACTATTTTTGTTTCAAAAAAATGCTATGACTTGGAAGCTTCTCAAATAAAAAGATGTGACAAAGATGTATTAGTAGTTCAGAGAGTAGCTTATTTGATTTCCTTTTTGAAACATTTTTGATTTCAAAGTTTTCATTCATCAAACGTTGACAACTGAGGTGTAGTCTGTCGAAATGAATAGTGTCTTTTACCTTTAAAAAAAGTTCTTTTAGAATTGTTGGGTTAGTATTATGGTTATAAAAAATTCTTTTAAGAACTATTACGTCATTATTTTGACCATTCACCATGGTATTTGCTATTTTTAAAACAATTTTACCACGACAATGTCTTTATTTTACTACGTATCATTGGTTGAGCGATTTATTACCGAGATACAATCCAAAAGCGAATTTATTGAAAGTCAAGAGAATAACTGAATAAAACTAGAAAAAAAAAGTGCAGAACATTTGACTTCTGCCAGAATTTTTGTCGTCGAGCAACTTTATTTTGTTTTCTACATTTTCGTCATTATGTCGCCACCATAGAGATTAAAAATAATACTAGAGGTGGCCTCGTGAAAGTCATGTATCATATTTCTTTATATATTAACTTTATGTAAATAATTCATTCATTATACTTCACTGAAGATGGTATCAGTTTGCCAAAACATGCATGCATTAAAGAATTTTAAAAAAGTCGTCGTTTACGTTAAATGTATCATTTTAATCGTGCTGCTACAAAATCATGGAAATTCTTATTTACTGACCATGAATGTGTAGCAGTTGCTTGAGATATCTTGCTTTAATCATTTCTCTTTTAAATTATATTCTCCTTTCATAATTCAATGTATGTTAGTTCATTACGATAGCATGTTAGGATCATTAAGAATAAGACTCTTTGTGTCTTTATTATTTCAAAGCAAGTATGGAGTCTTTTTATCCATTATCCACAGCCAGGTTATTCTAATCACATATGGCAACCAGGAATAAAAAAAATCCATATTCTTTAATATTTCTACTTTTATTGTCTCTACTTTTGCATTTCCATTCTTCTGTATCATGTATTTAGCCTAATTTTACAGACAGTAACCATATTGTGACAATGAATTTGCCAGGCGGAAAGCAAATTCTTAGTATGAATATAATTTCCCAACATAAAACTTTTAATATGGCTATGGGTATATAATTTTATTAACAATAACATTTCGTCTTTAACTTCAGATCACAATACATACATGTAGGAAGTTAGAAAACATATATACTAATTATACATTATTTTCAGGGTGCTAAATTACAAGGTATAGTGATGACAGTGTTGTGTGATTTTTATGTTAAGGCATAGAGTGGGATTGAATGGAATTAGAAAATATTTAGTGAGATAGAACTGCCTTGAACAATAAGAGATGATTTAAGCTTGGAAATGAGGAGGCTTTCGTGGATGGATAGTTCGTATGCATTAGGAGAGGATGTTAGAATGACGAAGTCTTCAAAGTCTGTGGAGTAATTTGTAGTTTTGAGGTGGGTGAGCACACTGAAATTGATTGGACTGGATGAAGTTTTTTCTGCCAATGGAGAGACACCCAAATTTTCTAATACTCTGGTGTGTAAATGGCGCGTGATTTGACTAGCGTACGACGCATAGCATTGTCGACACTTAAATAGATAAACAACACCAGATTTCAGAAATTTGGGAACTATATCTTTCAAGAGAAAGTAGGATGAAAGGCGTTTAATTAGAACCATGTATTTTATAAAGAGTTTACACATGTATGAAATTCGTCGTATGATTAGTTTCTTAGTTGGTGTGTGTGGCAGAGGAGAGACTTTGCTTTCCATGTCTTGAACAACTCAGAAAAAAATTAATTAAATAAGCGATTACATAAAGGTTACTACTAAAGTATATAAAGCAGGCAAAACCGCCTCAAACAGCTGACATCATTATGCAGCATACAGAGAACATGCATTTTTTAACACGTTCATATTTCATCAATTTCGGTAAGCAAATCATTGCTCTGCTCTTCGTGTGTCGTGCGAATATGCTGTTTGAGATCACAACGGCGAGAGAAGGCCGTTTTACAGTAACGGCAACGATAAGGCGTGTTGTCCGTGTGAACGTGAAGGTGAAATTTCAGATTCGACAGTTTGTTGAATGCTTTGTTGCACAGTCTGCAATTGTATGGCTTTTCTCCAGTGTGAATAAGCAAGTGGTTGCGAAGATTGCCTTTTTGATGAAATCCTTTACCGCAAATGTCGCAAACAAATTCCTTTTCTCGCTGTGTGTCGAATGTGCGTCTTTAAAGTGGAGCTGCGGTTAAACGCTTTTTGGCAAACGTTGCACTTGTGGGGTTTGTCGTTTGTATGAATTATCTTATGTCGACACAACGTGCTCGAAAGACGAAAGCCTTTTCCGCAAATGTTGCAAACGAACGGTCGTGCGCCTGTGTGACTGGGCATCTTGAGATGAATCGTCAAAGTATACTTTGTTTTGAAGATTTTTCCACATTGTTCACATTTATAGACGGGTTTCCCCGACGAAGGCGGTGGAACTGACCGGCTACATATGCTTTTTGCCGTTTGCGGGTCTTCTATGCCATTTATATCAAGTGAAGATACGAGGTCAAACAATCTCCGATCATTCATAGCACGTTTGCTGTTTTCAAGTCATCACCATCGATGAAACTTTGATACGTGAAAGATGCCTTAGTTTTGGTGTCCCGTTGCCAAGCCAAAATACTCTCGACTGCGAAAAAGACCTGTCTCGTTCTTCCAATTTTGGTTTATCACATTGCAACAACCCTGTGTCATATCCTATGAAGAATTAATTTATCGATATCATTAGGTTCTTTGCGTGCAGATAATTGCACTAATAGGTTGGGCAGAATTCTGTAAAATTGCAAGGAATTTGCACGATTTGATGATAAGCAGAATTATTTTCATTCATATTGCTTTAGAAAGATGTCGACCTTTTAATTATGTTAAAGCAGATGTGAAAGGCTATAGCTACTAGCATAGTCTGAGTGCCCTTAGATAAATACAAACAAAACGCATTCACCACCAACCTACGGTTAAATGCAGCTTCAAAATGAATCACTGACTAGAGTAGCTGATTCGATAGACAGTGGATAAAATTTAAAAAGTTTACTTGCCTCGTCTCGAAAAAAGTATGTGTTCTGACACTTTATTGCCTACATGGTTAACTTTTCTCTGGCGTTTTAAAAATTTATAGTAATGAAAAATACAAAAAAGATTGCTCTTCATAATCACAGTAGAGATTAATTAATGTAAAATATTATTTGGTTTTCGGCTCTCCCAAAGAGTTTTGAAATGAGTACTTTTTTAAAGCAATTCAGAATTCACAATTAAATTTCCGTTGAAATTTTCATCGACACGGTTCAGCAATATAGATACATACAAGCTATTCTATACTCTATATTTTCAAAGAGTTGTCACTTGACAAGAGTAAATCAATTGAAATCGCCTCCATAAGGTAGCTAAAGTTCCACTTCAACGCTGAACTTTGAAAATCAATATTTGTTGCTACAAAAGTTTGTGGAAACTTTTGGAGGCCATTCGAAAGATATTTTATTTACAAAAAGAGTGCAGTTTTCACTGCTGTATGAAATTTTTAACTAAGCTCATAAAGAAAGTCGTTCGTGGATATTTCGAATATAATAATGTTAAAAGTCGACGGTCGCTTAAATTTATGTCTGGGTTGAGAGCTTCATGATTAGCTACAAGCACAAAATCGACTGATACATACTTGTACAGTTGAAGCTTGTTGTTCAGTTTAAATGCCGAACTCATACCTTTTTCGGGTAATATGGCACCATTGTCGTTTGTTTGATTTGACACATTTCTACGTAGAAGAAAAGATCTTGGCATGTCACTTGAGTTAAATGAGGACTGCGAGGACTAACGTTCAACTTATAAGTCGATGAAAAAAGTTTGGAATAAACTTTTCTATAGAAAGGGTCGCTGTGAGGATTGTCTCCAAACTTATCCCAAGTAAAAGATGTCTTTGTGCTTGACAAGCTGCAAGTTTATCACCTTAAGTGGATTGTACTCTTGCCTGCCTACTCAGAAATGCGTCAACGCTGGCCGCAAATTGAGCATATGAAGCATTCGAGTGAGCTGAAGGAAACCGCAATGCAAGGAAAGGTTACAAAACAATGTAGGGATTGACCAATGATGATCTTTGTCTTAATAAACATCGGGCCATCAACGGCAACTGGCATACAACTGGTTTTTGCAGAGATCATCTGTCTTCGTCATTAAATTGAACACTACATTTTTGGTAATTTTAGTCAAAAACATTAAGTTCAAATGCAATGTTTTATATTGAATGAATGTTTCTGATTTAGCGTTTGAAGTTGGGAATTTTTAATTTTAGCGTGCGCAGAGTCAATCTCCTTGTAAATCCACGGCACTCATTCAGACAACAAAGTGCTCAATGTACTCTTAAGAACAACGTGTTTGGAAATTTTTCAAACATTAAGGAAATGAGAACGTTTCCGATTGGAGACTGCTTGCAACGAACTCCACAGAAGAATGCACATGTTAAACAAAAGACTGTTGTAGGGTTGAGTAGTGTTTACAATATCCAAAGATAGAAAATCTTGTTCATGAAAATTGAGTTGTAGAAACTTTTCATTCATAATATGGCAGAACAATAGATAAGGAAATTCATCAATATATTTCGCAAACTTGTTTATTGGCATAATCACATGAAAGTTTTGTTTAACAAAATGCATAAATCGTGAAAAGTTTCTTTTAGTCGTAAAATTAACGTTCAGTGAAAAAGAAACCTGTCCTAATCTCCGTTACATGTTGCATTTTTCTGAGTCTATTGACTGAAATGCATGTGATTTCTTATCTTTCGACGAGATTCGTAGCAAGCTGTGACATTGAATAATATTAAAATTAAAAGCCAATTTGTATTATCATTCGGTCATTGTTTTGTAAACGCTGAAACAGTATCTAGTGCGATTGCCAATTTGAAACTCTGTGATGAGTTGGCCATGACAAGTAAGTCATACGGCGACGTCTAAATAGCGCCAAATCCACTTTCCGCAACTGTTGTGCCTTTTTAAGCATTTGAAATCAAAACAAAAAGCGCTGCATAAAAATTGTGAATAAATTGTGGTTAGCCAAGCATGCTGCATCCATGCGTGTCCTATTCATAAGCATGGCATCTGCGAAGCTTTCTGATTGCTGGCAACAGTTTCGTTCTAGGCAGACTCGTGAAAAGTTTCCATGACCTGACATAGAAATTTAATGTAGCAATATGGAATGCAACTGCATGATATTTAACGGCGTCTGTCATTTTGACTGCACGCTTTTTTCGCTCCATTTTCGTAGCTTATTAAAATTTTATTGATTTAAAAACATCAGCCGACTGACCTACGACCACAAGCGTGTTGTTCATATAAACGAAAACTAAAAATAAAAATGAAGCTTAATTGTGTTTTCCTATCACCGGTGTTGTGATAACGTTGTTTATTTGCCTGGAAAACGTTTCGAAATCGTCAAAGTAACGATATATTTTACATACACACAAACAACAAAGCATTAAACGTTAACAAAAATTGTATGATTTCGTTCGATGGTTCGAAGTCAATATGGCCGAGTTAGTTTTAACAGCTTGCGCAATACATTGACCGCAGCAGTAATGTCTCTTTGTTTAGCGACCGAAATAACGTCATTATCTTTCATTAGTGGCATGAAAAAGAAACGCACTTTTTAAGGTAAAGTCATGATTCGAGGTATTTCATTTAGTGCGATCGACAATTGACTTCATTTTCATTCAAAAAATAGCTTATGATATCTCTCTTTTAAACAGCATATATGATTAACCTTGATTGTTACACTTAGTACACAAATAAATAGTCTCTGACTAGGCCAGGCTGTACGTGAAACAATTAATTCTTTAAAGAGTTTCTGGCGCAGACCCATTGGTATATTCTATATTATACTAAAGGCTTCTAAATTTTCAAATCAAACAAGTCCGTTTCAAGGTGAAATAAAATGCACATGTTATTACAGTTTTACAATTTCGAATTAAGTTCATTCATGTAGAAAATACAGTTTACTAATTGAAATTTCGTTTTTTCTTCGTGTCCTGCGAACTATTTTATTTGTTGAAGAGAGAAAAAGTGCTCATAAAAGGCATCCTCAAATTGTTTTTGACTTGTCGATGTTAATTTCATAACCGCATCACTGAGTTGATGCCAATAGTTTGAACAATATTTTTTCGTGATTGGCTGTCAACTGTCATTGACTTAATCACAACAACACATTTATTTTAAAATCGATGTTGTCCTGCAAAACACCCTTATTCTTGAGATATTTAATGCACTGGTGTTGAATTGTATTCCATGTTTGAAAAAATAAAATGACTAAAATTACTCCAGGGTAGAGGACAGAATTGTGCCTTTTGTTCTATTTTTTGTTGTTGCACATGTCAAACATGAAATTTTTTCCAACCAATTAATTTGGTTCAATAAAACGACTCATCACATGTGAGCGAAGAAACTTAATAAACGAAAATATACGACCCTGTTCATATATGAGTAAGGTTGAGCCGCCGTACCAGCTCGCCCGGCACTGAGATGTCATGACTTAACTTGTTTGCCCGAAATAAAGAGACAAAATGATGATGGGAGACAGCCGACTGCCTGTCAATTTTAGAACAGTTTACCCATTACAACGCATAAACTTTCATCTATAGTCCAGTTCCTGCGAAAATAAGAAAATATAGTCCAGTTTTAGCGAAAAACTTTGCATTATGCAGGTCCTTCCTCCCCCCCCCCGTCCTCCCCCAAGAAAAAAATACAAGTTTTGACTGTGGTTCTGGACACCCTGTACCTTTATAATGACCCAGTAAGGCATTCTTCTATAGGTCAATTTTCAGAGAAAATGTTTTTCAGCTTAATTCATTAATATTCTTAACTGACACGTGCAACAAATTTTTCTGCTCATTTATTCGCGCAAAAAAATAGTACATTTCTAATAATATCGTTACAAAGTTCTCTCGGGAAGAGACTTTTGAACCAACGATCACTATACGTAGATCATACTTTTATGAGCATAAGCCAAAACTGATGTATCTCAGTTTGCTAACATCGTTTACGATATCTACCCTCAATACACTATATTTCTTTATCGATATATTTACTAAAACTTGTGCTTTTCATTTTTCGAAAAAATTACTTTTGTCAAGCAAATTAAAGTATTTGTCATTATAGCAAATGTAATATGGCAAAAACGTCACGACATATTTCATATTGCACGTTTCAAAATAATCTATTATAATTTCACGTCAAATTATTTTTAGTACATAGTCATGATTTTATATGAACTTTTTAAATCTTAGAGAAAATAGTTATATGTAAATTACGTAGGGCATATATTTACATAAATAATTGTTATAATCTTGTAAATTCATCAGTAACAAAGTTCACAAGACTGTATTTATTGATTTTTTAAACGTTCTAACTATCTATCTGTCAATCTATTGTATAAATTTTGCTGGTTTTAAAAACATTTGCCAGACGACTTGGAGGCGAAGAAACCTAATGAAAATATACGACAGACAGCTAATTGTTGATGTTGTAATCAGAGCAGGGGAGATGAATAACAAGAGCAGTCAAGGTTGGGAACTTGGAATTTGAACCTTATAGCAAAGTTTCAGTCAGAGTATGTAAAATTGTAGATTGCCATTGAAATACTTCATTATGTTGATAGATTAATGTACATAACATATGAATGAAGTTCGAGTAGGATTTGTCTTTGTCTTCGCAGAGCTGGAGCCAGGCCAGAGCTTGGGTACGATTTTCTGCTTCTTTCACAATGTAAAAGTAGAATGCAGTCAACAGCTTATCAGATCTTTGTCTTTTGAGAAAATGCATAGGTCGTGTAGCTACTGAGCGGGCTCCTTCTGAATTGATGTCACTGGTCTGCAATGTTCTACACAATAGCTCCATTGCATTGAACATCATGAACGAGAATCACAGACCAAAAAATGCCTGAAAGTTATCCATCCATCAGCGTCAATAAGCAAGATTATTGGCGATGATGGATGGATAACTTTCACATCCCTTTCGCAGCATCTTTGATTTTCGATCTTCTCCACCTCTGTACAAACAAGAGAACCAACTGCATGATTCTTGTTTTTCAGTTTGTGGTTTGTTGTGTATTTTGTTAATACTTTGTTGATAAAGTTTCGTGAGTAATTGTTGTTTATGAATGTAGAGTATAAGTAGTTGCGTTCATTCTTCTTGGCTTCTTCTGTATTGCAGTGTGTTTTAATCCTATTAAAGAGAGTTCGTATGCAACTAATTTTGTGTTGTGTTGGGTGATTGCTATTAAAGTTGAGTATTTGGTCTGTGTGTGTATTTTTGCGGAATACTTGTGTGTTTAATGTGCGTCATGTGATCTGGTAAGTAGAATATCTAGGAATGTAAGTTGTTTGTTCCGTTCTTTGTCCATGGTGAAGGTTATGTTCTGTGTGGTGTTGTTTATTGTGTGTAAAATGTGTTCTGTTTTGTCTTTTCGACGATAGCAAAGATGTCGTCAACAAATCTCTCCATAGTCTGATGTGTGTTGTTGGTGACTGACTGCTTTTCAAGGTGTTGCATAACAGTTGCATAAAAAAATCAAAATAAAATCCAGAGAATCCTTATCATTATCATAATATGCCTGGGTTACCAATTTTCAAATATATTAAATCGACATATGGGATGGATACTCTCAGAATAACGAGAAAGTGGGAATTATTTCGGACTTTAATGACAGATGCCAAATCCATTGACGAAACCATCAAAGAAACAACAAACGCGTATCGAACAAAACGACACAACGAATTCCAACGAAAACTACAAAAATCGAGATCATTTAAGGAAATTAACACCGACACGCATTCATGGGTCAAGAACATATCAAGCAAACCACTCACCGTACAGCAGACTAAAATTTTAAGCAAAGGCTTAAATTACAACATCAAAGACGCCAACAAACTTGACTTCGTTGCCGATCTAGAATCCACACTGAAATTCACCAACTTAAGTGATGAAATCAAAGAAGACATTCGC